TCCCGGCCAAGAGACTGTGGCCACGGGAAGCAGAGGAGGCCGAGTGGGGCTGAAGAAGCATGGTCGGTGGGAAAGCGTATATCGCTGTTTACCAGTTGTTTTGTCTCCTGCTGGTAGCTCCATGAAGCTGCTTTCTCGTACACCCTATTTGCTGGTCTCTGATATGTGCCCAAGATGGCGGATCCATGCTGCATTAGCTGATAGGGGACCTCTGCATGTATGTCTCCTCGCTGTCTGTTCTCTGTCAGTTTCTTATTCCATTTGTTGCTTGGCTGAGTTCTTTATCTCTTCGTTTGATGTTCAGGATTTCAGGATTGCTGTTTTCTCTGTTTGGCTTAGTTTTCTGGATCTTTGCTGTGGAGGGATGGCGTGGTTCTTCTGCCTAGGGCACCATGTTGCCGAAAGTCCCCTGGCATACTTTCTTATATTCAACATACTATAAATAAGAAATACTCTGAATTCTAAAGTAAATGTGGTTGATGGGATCACAAGAAAAATAATACCATATCCCAGGAGCAAAACAAAATATCAAACTAAATTTAATTATAATTTAAATAATTGTAATATTTTACAACATGAGGCTAATACACGTAAGTCCACGTAAAAATAAGGAATTATGAAAGTATTGCTTTTTGCTACTATAATTTGCAATCATTCTCTGATACATATAAATACCTGATTAATATTTCCATGTCTTTCAAGAAGCTCAATATATGTTCTGAAGAAAAGTAAATGAATTGGTAAGGTTCAACATCCAAATTTCTTTACCTCAAAAGCAAGATTCTTTGTAATTAAGTCATAACCAAAGATGTTTATTTTGTTCCACCCTCCCTTGCCTGATGATAGTCCAAAGACTATTGAGATAAATGCCAATCATTTTCATATGCTGCAGAATTAACAGATTAATGAAATTTTCAAATTCCATAAGGTCCTTTTGATTTCAAATTTTCTTGAAGCTTTTACCTCTCTTTAATGAGAATAAAGTTGCAAATGTGCTCAGACATGGTCAAAGACTTTAGGAAAATACAGTCCATTTGCTAACTACATATTCAATTCACTCATATATTTCTAGATTAGATTGAATACATGGAGATTTTAACTGGTTAATATCCTTATCCA